ACCGCAGCGTGACGACTGCATCCCCTTCCCAGCGGCACCACTGTGGCAGAAGAAGCTCTGTCTCTAGTGAGGCCTCCCAAAGCAGCTTGCCATCAGTGGATAGCCACTTCTGGCCCCAGGGGTGTTTCGACAAAGCTTGGAGTTTGCTTCCTAACAGCCATATGTGCATACCGTCAGTGAAGCATTCTAGCAACACCACAGCACGATCTTCTGAGAAAACCAAGATGTCACCCGCATGGTATTCCGATTTTCCGATTCGTGCTGTTGGTGCCGTTTTCAGTAGTTGGCACCGCAAAGCTGCCCGCATGCCGGGCGAGGCAGGCTTTTGCACGCCATGCAGCTCCCAGCAGGGCAAGCCAGTTTCCTTCAGCTGTTGGAGTGTCTCCAACAACATGTTCGTCAGGCAACGTCTAGCGAAGAGTCTGGGGTGGCCAAGCTGGCCTTCATACCTGTCGCACAGACTTGTTTTGTAGATCTGGTGCTTCTTTTCGTGCACATGGCAGTCTGGCAGCATGCCCAGCAGCAGGCAGCCAGCTGTCAGATGGAACCTGTGGTGGTGTTTGGGTTTCATCTTCTCGGCAGAGTAGGCTGTCAGGAACTTGGAGTGATGCTGTTCTTCCAGTTCTCGCAACAACCCCAGATCCTCATCACACAGCGGAGTATTCTTGTGTTTAAGACGGCGGAGCTCGCAGTGGATCTTGCAGAGGCATTCGAAACTGTTCATCTCAGCTACCAAGAGGCCTCTCGGCTGGCACAGCTGCCACAAGAAATATCTCAGCAGGGGCATAACCGCAGCGGCGTCCTCTGCTATTCCCTTGAAGCAATCATCGTCCCAGAGTTTAGGATTGAAGAGGCGAGCGGCGAAGCCCTGCGCGCGCCCCAATCTGCGTGGGAACTGCCAATTGCTGGCTCGTGCTGCCGAAGCCAACATTTCCAGCGTCACGGCTGGGGCTGCTGCTTTGAAGGCGGACCAAACATAAGCCAGTTCCCAAGCCATGACTCCCTGGTGGTAGTACAGGTGCATTGAGTCCACAGCCTGACGAGAATGTTTATGCCTCTCAAGGAAGCCCTCTCATTCTAGGTGTTTGTATATAGGGTTTCGGGTTTAGGGTTTAGGGAACAAAGCTGACGTGCTACAATTTATCTGCTGACAGGCCACGCAATGCGAGACCGGGAGGATCTTGCGGGCCCAGGCATCGAAGAGCAAGGCATGCACGTTTCGTTTGATGCCAGAAGTTTTTTCGAAACCCTTTACGTCCTTGGCGCGCTGCAAGCCGCGCAGCTTTTCAGATGCGGCGACGTAGTCTTCGTCTGTCATAGAGATGAACTTGCTCCGATCGGATTCCGTAAGTTCTACGAAAGGGTCAGACTCGACACCTGAATCTTTCTTCAAAACGTTAGAGCAAAAAGCGCAGCATTTGAAGCCAGCTGAGCCGTTTATGTTCAGACAAGCTCTCTGTGCATCCATGTCACAAAGTAGAGAGCAAGTGTTGTCGAGACCGCATTGGACGATCCTTCCACCAAGCAACAAGTCAAAACCAGGTTCGGCACTCCGCCAAAAGTGACGCAGGATGTAGACGAGGGCAGTGGACAGTCCACCGTCCACCTTGTCCGCTTCCTCGTGCTGCAGCATCGCTGCCGGCAGCCAGGCCTGTTCCAAATGAGCTGCCGGCCTCAATTCGGCACAGCACAAATAGAACAGGGTCGCCTTCTTGTTTTTCTCTGGAGCCAAAATGTTGCCCCCTTGAACTTCGTCGTGGTACATCCACAAGCGAAGCCGGCCATCGCAAGAGATACCGTTCGCCAAGGCTCGGTTAAAGGCTGTGCTTTTTTCTGCAGAGTGTGCCAGAAGTCGGGGTATGTTGGCAGCCAGGACCACCACGGAGTCGGTGCTTCGGAAGGTTGGCAAGGACACTTCTTCGAAGCAACTTGATTCGGGCACCTGATCTCGGACCAGCTTCTTGTAGAAGGCTGGTTTCGAGAAACTAACTTCTTTCGGTTGCAGTACGTTCCAAGCCAAGCGCACTTGGCTAGGGATGGCGCGAGGGGCCCTCAAACATTCTTGCAGTTGCTCTTCCTCGGCCGCCGAAAGCTTGCGTTTCGGCATCTCTGCCAAGCCATGGCTGGTAGAGGCATGGCAGTGCTCTACACTCGTTAGGTCCATGCCAGACTAATGACTAATCCCTTTCTGTAATGTTGTACAAGAAGCACAAAACGGAAAAGTTGACCCTGGCAAACTTTATTGACAGACAATCACAAACGAGCTTGACTGTTGCATGTCCATCCTTTGCAGCATTGTAAACCTGCATAAACCTGCGGAGCAAGCGAGCGGACAAATTATGGTGGAGCTGACTTGCAGCGGTGAGCGATGATGTAAGCTTAAACAAAACAGTCGTGTATCTATGCATGATGTATGTGCGTATGTATGTATGTATGTATGTATGTATGTACAGTTGCGGGGCTGCACGGGCACAGAGATCGGCAGTGGCTGCAGTTTATCCCTTTTATCACGTGATCCAGAGATATATACAGGAGGCCTCAAATTCTACGTCTGCACTCGCAAGCCAGCTGTCGTAGATCGTCGGCAGCTCTTCTGGCTTCGCCCAAAGAAAAGTCAGGCTGCTGCAGCTCTGTGTTAGCAAACAAAGCTCCCTTGAGACAGTCTTGCAAGGCAAACAAGTAGGTGCTCAGAATGCCTTCCGACTCACGCAGACACTCTGTGACGCTGGGCTTACGCCGCACGGTCTCCCTGCTATACGTCAGAGCCGAGCTCAGGTAGCGGGCCGTGTCCCGAAAGCTTTGCTTCAAGCTTTCGCGCTCAACTTGCCTTTCCTTGCGTTTTTTTTCCTCAGGGCTGCTGTGCACAGTCTGCACAGCAGCAGCAGCAGCAGCACCATCCGGGTTGCTGGCTGCGGAGATGTGTTCTGATACCTTGCAGGTTCGGGCTCTTTTGGCAGGTACCGCGCTCAGCGGGAAGGCTTGGCACAGCCTCTTGCTGCTTTCGGATTCAGCAGATCCTTCTTGGTCGCCTTGATTCATGTTTTCTTCTTCCGAGAAGAGGCATCTACGCAAGCATACTTAGAGCCAAATGCTTATAGAAGACCAGAGGCAACATGGGATATTGAATTCGCAGGACTCGTGCAGGAAAACCTTGCATAGCTCTGCCATCATTTTTCACGTGGACGTGGGCGCAGCTTCTGCTTCGTGTGCGTCAGCAGGCCCGGGCTCGTGTGTGTTTACCCCTTGCAAAAAACTGGACTTGAGCTAGAGTTACTCTAGTTACATACACATATATATGTAGAAACGCATGTCTGTAACGACCAAATCAAAAACAAACCATAGACACGAACAGTCAACACCTCACACGCAGCAGCAAGCCTGCGAGCCACGAGAACCCTTGAGCGGAACGTGGCAAACCAGAAACGGCTGCTTCAAAGCACGGTTCAGTCTAACACATGCAGGTGTTCTGAAGCAGACACCGAAAGTAATTAAGATGCGCACCACGATCAGTGTGGGGCATCGAAAGGGTGAGTCAAAAGCTTACTTGGCCGGCGCCTTCGTGCGGCGTCTCTTGTTTGGCCCTGCCGCAGCGGTCTCCGCTGCAGCAAGCTTGTCCGCAGCCGGTGCCGCTGCGGCCTTTTCTTTGCGAGGTACTTCACCCCGCAAAGACTTCAGCGTCTTAAGCTTGTTCTTCAAGTCTTCGGGAGTGAAGGGAAGCTCCGGCAGCAGTGGCTGGGTCTCTTGACCTTTCAGAGCAGAGAACTGCAGGGTCGTGCTGCTGCAAGCTTGGAGCCAGGGCTGCAGGTCGAGGTAAGCCGACTGCAAAGCCTCCTTCAAGCAGACCTCAACGTCCTCGCGCTTCTCCAGCTGCTTGCAAAGCTTCTGCAAGCCAGTGCTGGCCAGGGTCAAGTCGGCCAACGCCCGCTGGGCTTTGCAGTTCAGCTGCGTGTTCACTCGCTGCGTCCTCGCTGCAGCACGGGCAGCACTTGCAGCAGAGGGCACTGCAGCTGCCTTGCCCTTAGCCTTGGCAGCAGCTTTGCCTTTCCCAGAGGCGGCGGCAGCAAAAGCCTGCGGTTTCAAGGCCTCAGGCACGTTCCAGGTGCACGTGGGCTCTTGCTCGCCAGTTTCCCCTGTGGTAGCTTTGTCTTTTGTTTGGGTCTTCTTCTTTCTGCACTCTTCCTCTCGCGTCAAAAGAGTTGTCTCCACGTCTTTGCGAAGCTGGCGGTAGTTGTCGTGGTGCACGGGCACCTGGTAAACAGTGCCCAGCTTGGGACACTCCCTGGAGTCACACTTTTTCACAGACTCCGAAAGGAACCCTCGCGTGACCCAGACTGACTCAGGGAGCCACTCTCCCACCTCGCCACTGTCCCACTCGCTGGTCACCTCGACCACAAGCTGCGAGACCAGGCAAGCACGAACGGTCTGCCAGTTCGTGCGCTCGTGCTCAGGCTTTTCAGAGTGTTCACGGAAGAACGCCTCCTGACGGTCCTTCGAAAGTTTTTTGAGCTGCTCCACGTCGCCAAGTGTTCTGGCAACCATCCTCTCCAAAGACTCACACTTCTTGCAGAGGAAGTGTAAGCCGTGCTTGCGGCCTTGTTCAAAGGGCTTCGGCAAACGGCACTTGCGACACTCGTGCTGCTCCTCTTCACTGGTTTTCAAGTGAAGTTTGGAAGGGGAAGCTGCCATGGCTTCGGAAGCGGAGGCCTCAGGGAAACCTGGAGAAAGCTCTGAGCCTCAAAGAATAGTGAAGCAGCACAGCTTCGAAGGGCCGCGACTGTGCCAGGCTTGAGGGTCTAGGGTGTCGGGGTTCACACGGGTTATGGAGCCACGGGGTGTAGGGCAGGCTGGCTTGAAGCAGCACTTCTGCAGACTGAGCTAGCTACGCGCGTAGACGCACAAGGACACTGAGAAAAGCCTATAGACCTTATAGCTGCTATAGCTAGATACGAAGCATAGAAAACCACACGTTGCAAGCAGAACCCCCGCGGACAGCGCGGACAGCCGCGGACAGAGAAACATATGTGATCTGCTTATAAAACACATAAGCGGGAGCTATACTTACCTCCAGAGTACGCGGACATGCGCGGACACACATCTCTGACTTTTCCGGTCACCGCGGACATGTGCGATTCATACATACTAGGAACGCCCGCGGACATGCCGCGGACAGCGGGCGGACATCTCGCGGACATGCCTTCAGCATGGCATTCTGCACATTCTGGAACCCTAATCCTCATCTAGCAGCATGACTAAAAACCTGTAGATCTCTGCTGCAGACGGAGACTCCGGCACCTTGTCAGGATGGAAGCTCAGTGTCTGCTGTCGAAGAAAGGTCTTGAAGCAGGATGGCCGCAGCTCGAGCCTGGTGATGGCAACGAAGCGGACGTAAGCACGGAGCCGCGGGCCACCATCGTTCCAGTGCGGCAGCCAAGACAGCGGAAGCTCCAGGCTAAAGTCTCGAGACGAGGCGGCCCTCTGGTCGGAAGGGTTCGGGGCAGAAGCCTCCGCTCTGTTGCCTCCGTTTCGCCAGTCACAGGTGGGCTTGTGTTTGCAAGCGGCACCACTTCGAGCACAGTAGCTGCAGCAGTGCCTGTGCGTGCCATGCGCGATGCGCTGGCAGCCCGGTGTTTGACACACCGTCTCCATGGAGTGTGGCTGGCTTTACTGAGTGAAAGGCAACGGCAGCTGGTACATAGATCTGGTGAGCTCAAACTGTTGACATGATCAGATGCATCCTAACAGAGGCAAGCACACACGAGCAACTACCTGCAGGCCCTCCCTTGCAGAGTTGTTTTGTCAGAGAAGACTTTTCAAGGGTAGCAGCACAAAGTCAGTGCTTCCTGAAGACTACACGAAACGTCTAGAGCTGTCACCGGGTGATTCACTATATAGTTCACAGTCAGTATACATATATATCTACACATACACAGACATTTGAAGACTATCCGTATACTGATGCCGGTCACCTCCTACATAAGGAGACGAAAGCCAGAGCATCCGATTCGTCCTATATCCTAAACATACCGGGGTGTAGGGTTTAGGGGCAGCACAGACTCGACTCTGAAACACGTGAACACAGAGACAAAACATGTACAGAGCGAGATTTTGTTGACTCCGGATCACCCAGTGCAGCAGACAGCAGCAGCCAAGAAAAGTGGGGACAAGAAGACTAGTCTGGAGTGCTTTAGGGTTTAGGGCTTAGGGCCTTATAACAGAGTCTCGGGTACCAAAGCTCTCTAGAGGTTTAAGTTCGCGGTGCCCCTATCTGCACAGCTGCTGTCCGTGCAAGAAAAGCAACACAGAGGCGCCAGCCTATATACATCCAGCTCAGCATTGGCAAGCAGGTGATCCCGAGCCACTGGCTCAAAGATGCTTGACCGCGATCTCAAAGAGATTCGTGATCATTTTCTGCCTCGATGCTGCTCCGTCGCGGCGCTTGCCATCGACAGAGTCCTCGTCCTGGTCGGAGCTGCGCCGGCGACGTCTGCTGCGCGACCTGTCCCTGCTCCGAGGCGGGGTTGAGTGCCGCCGCTTCTCCTTGGACTTCTTTTTCTCGTGAGACCGGGGCCGGGTCTTCCGGGGGGAAGTCTTGGAACGAGTGGCCGCCGAGGAAGCTCTCGCCGGAGCAGAAGGGGAGCGGCGTTTCTTCGAGGCCGACGCCTGTCCCCTTTTCCACGCCTGCTCTTCAGCTTGGATCTGGTCCTGAGCTATCTCCTTGCTCTTGTCCCAGGACAGGCCGGGATTGCGAGTCTTGACAGCCCAAGTCCTGCAGTACAAGCCCCTTTGGTGAGCTTCCATGCCCTGCTCGCCACCTTCGGGCCGTTTCCAGCAGATTTCGCACCGCAAAGGCCCTTTGCCACCGCGACGACGCGGGGCAGTGACAGAGCGCAAGCGGGCCCCATGGGCTGGCTGCGACGCCTTGCGTCTGTTGTGCTCCCGGCGCAGGTGCTCCGCTTGAACACGGCGCCGCTCTGAACTCTGGCTGGCACGGGGTGACCTTGGCTCCTTCGTGGTGCCTCTGAGCTGGGGCGGGTTGCCCGCAGGCTCCGACGGCCTCCGCTTGTCCGCCTTCTCAGCAGCTGTACGGTCTGCAGGGGCCGCAAGGTTCTCCTTGGAAGCTGAGCGGCCTGCGCGCTTGTCCTCTTCCGAGGAGCTGCTCTTCTTTGCTTCGTCGGAGCTGTCCTTCTTCTCGTCCTTGTCCTCGTCCTCGTCGTCGTCTGAGCTGGAGCGCTCGCCTGGCAGCAATTTACATGCAAAAAATATGTATGTGTATATATATGTATATGTTTATTTAAAAAATCTATGTATGCAAAATGTGTCTGTATATGTTAGAGACAACGGCAAGATGTGCATACTTGTATGTTCATGCACCTTTACAAAAGACATATAAACAAATGCATACAAATATACTGACATGCACATACAGACATACAGACACACATGCATACATACAAAAGTAAGTAAAGAAGTAAAACATGCATGCCTTGCTGGCGGCCCACAAGCTACACCCAAAACTGACCGGCCCGCAGGCACTGGTCCAGTGGCGGCCCGCAAGCACTGCCAAAATTTGAGCGGCCCTCAAGCACGGCTCGGCACCCGGCTGGCCCGCAAGCACAGCCCCTTGCTCCACTGGCGGCTCGCAAGCACTGCCAAATTTTCAACAGCCCCCGAAGCATGAGTCTGGCCCCCGGTGGCCCGCAAGCGCAGCCGTATGATGCTGTGGCGGCCCGCAAGCACTGCCCAACACACAATGCATTACAGAAAATGACATGTATATCTATCTATCTATCTATCTATTTAGCTATCTATCAAATATATATATATATATATAAATATATATATATAAATATATTTAAATATATATATATATATATTCACAGACATGAAGCATCTAAGTATTTGTTCTTCTATCAAATTTTTGCAAATGCATTTCTTTATTTTAAACGGTACTTCTTTGCAGGATGTTTTGAAAGGTTATGTAAGGATTTATGTTGTGACATTTTTTCTTGTGCTTGTGGGAAGAGGGCGGCCCTGTAACTCTGATGCACAAGAGAAGCTTTACACCCATGCGCGACTCCTGCCCACCTCCTAGAAAAGGAGACGAAAGCCAGAGCGGCGCAAGTGCCCTATCCAAGATTTAAGCGTGCCGAGGTTCTGAAGCCATGCTTTTATTTTCAGCACAGGCCAAACCCTTGACATACGAAACAAAATGTCACTCGAGGACAAATCTGTGTCAACAAATGCAGGGTTTGAAACAGTTGTGATCATGAGTCGTGGGTTCAGTTTACAGCGCAGAGTGTGTCGCAGAGCCCCGTGGGTTACGCAAAACTTGTGAGGATTAGCAAAAGGCATGACAGCTTAGAAGTCTTATTCGTCAACAGACTGGCGCCTGCAGGCGCCATCGCCGTAGGCAGGCTGCGCAGGCTACAGCTGCAGAGGCTGCGCACAAAACGGCTGCAGACACCAAGCATGCTTCTTTCAGGCGCATGTGAAGACAGCAACATTGAAGGAACAGACTGGTTCGGTTCTTGCTTCAGAAAGAGCAGAACAAGGTAAACTTACAGAACGGTTGCAATCGCACGTACAGACATGGAATCCTGAAACAATAGAAATTTCACATGCAGGCAAACAGTTGTTTGAAAGCACGCTGGCTTGTCGGGTCGGGCCATGCAAGTCAGAAGCCACAGATCTACACTGACGGTTGTCTGCTTGCAGACAGAACGAAACAAAACTGGAGCTTGTCGGCTGCAGGATATACGCAGAGGTGATCCAGGCCTGGAATCCAAGCCGATGCTAGCAGATCACTTGTCGTCCCAGAGCTGCAGGGCTTTTGCGTGGGCCTTGCGACCGGCCTTTTTGGCGCGATCGTCGTCCAAACCTCGCTTCAAAGCCAGGTTGCGGGCCTGGTGGTAGGCTCTGCTTGCGCTCTTCTTACGCGTGTCAGCAGTCTCCTTCGTGCATTTTGGCTGCACACCCTTCTTCTGGGTCTGCTTCTTCTTGTCGACCGCAGAAGGTCGCCTCTTCACAAGCCCTGCAGGCTTCTTGGCCGCGGGCACAGACAGCTGGGCAGAAGAGAGAGCCGACACCTTGCTGTCGGCTGCTAGACAAGCTGGAGCAGCCGCAGGCTTCCCCTTCCTCACTTGTTTGCCTTTCTGCTTGTCTCGGGCTTGCAACAGAGCAGCCAACTTTGCACGGTTAGCTTCGAAAGACCCGGCAGGCGCGAGCTCTTTCGGCACTTCAGCTTCCTCCGCACAGGCCTCAGCCTGATGTGCAGGGCTGGGCTGGGGGCCAGCTGCCGGCGACGCAGAGGAGTCCAGGCCAGCAGAGGGGGCACCTGCAGCAGGCATGGCATCCTGCAAAGCGAGCAAAGACGGGGGCACCTGCGAAGCTTGTTGCACCGCACCTGAAGGCAGCGCAGGCTGCGTCACAGCTTGGGCAGTGCCTTCCTGAGAACCCCTGCCTTCCTGGGGGACCCGTGTACTCAAGAGCTCGATCCGAGGAGTCTGCTCTTGCTGCGACGGGGTCTTGAAGAGGTTCACAAACGTTGCAGCGAACGCCCCAAACACGTGCGAAAGATCTTGACCTGACGATGGCATCTGCGAGACAGCATCCCATTGCAACCCCGTGCGCGGTTTGCGGAGAGGGATTCCCGAGGCCGCGCGCTGGATCGCAGCAACAGTCAGGGGACATGGCACAGTCAACTGTCCTGAAGCCTGCTGCCACTGCATCACGTGCTGTGGCGTGAGCAACAGGGGTCCCAGCTGCACAGCCTCGCCCGGGTTGAAGCGTCCCTGCCTGTTACAGAAAGTCTTCCAGGAGGACTTGACTGTCTGTAGCAAGGAGTAGGCTTGGAAGGGCTGCGGAGGCGTGCCTACCACACACAAGAGGCCCGTCATCATGCCGAGAGTGCTTTCGCTTGGATTCCGTAAACCCAAGGTGAAGAGGTGCTGGAACAGCGCTTCCGATCGCTCGGATACGGGCTTGTTGGCAGCCAACAAGATATCCCAGACAGATTGCGTAAAATAGCCATGCATGCTGGTGTAATCCTGCAAGGCTCGACGCGCAGCGTCTGGTGCCTGCATGCTGCCCTTGCTCCAAAGCACCCAACAACGCACCAACAAAGACTTGCAACAAACACTTGAGCCACAAACATCCGCAGCAGCTTACTTAAAGCAAACAAGTGAATGAACCAACTGAAAGAATCCTACGCACACAGTCGGCCACATTGTCTGCAACGTGCAACGAGATGAAAGACCCAGTCGACCCGAAAAAGCTGCGTGCAGCATCGACAGAACTTCCTGCGAGCACTCGTCTTATATATAACACTTCTGAATGAGCACAGGGCGAAAATGGTCTAACAAAAAACAGTACTTTCATAAGTATAGATAAGTATGAAATAAGTACGATAACTTTTTTCGTGTCTTGTTTATAAGTTATCTTGTAACCCGTCCAAGTCCCCTGACACTTATCCAAAGTTAGTAAACTTGTAACCTAGGTTATAGGGTTTGTAACCCTGGTTACAGCATTTGTAACTTGGGTTACAAAACAGGGAACCTGTCAGTATGGGGCTTCAGGGTTTGAGGCCGGGGGGTAGCACCTCTCACCCAGAGAAGCCTGGGCAGCCCCTAAATTTACTAAACGGCCAT